TGGGGTGGGGGCCTGCGCGGCATTCCCCCGCCTCCCACCTCTGCTGCTGGGCCTCACTTCCGCTGCTGGGGTGAGGAGCAGCCGCCTGCCGATAAGCAGCACCGTTTCCTCTGGGGGAGGAAGGCAGGGTGGGGGCTCGGGTGTGGAGGGCTCACGTCCTGGGCAACTGAGCGCCCATGGACCTCAGCCACGGCCAGCCGGAGGACGATGATGGCGGCCCAGGGGCTGGGCCCCCAGGAAGCCTGCTGTGGGAACAGGTGTGGGGCATCAGTGGGGTTGGAGGCCAGATGCTGCTCTGCGCCCAGGCCTGGGCCTGGCCCTGGGCCTAGTCCACGCCTCCTCGGACGCCTTGTCCTTCTACTCTACCCCACAGATCGAGCCCCCATCCCACCACTTGTCTCCTGAGCAGGTAAGAGTCGGAGTGTTGGGGGGCACAGAGGTGGGGGCAGCAGCCCTGTGTCCACCTGTATACCCTCCTCACCTCCTGGCCAAGGTGGCCTGAAGCAAGGAGGGACTCTGGGTCCCGAGGGGCCCAGCCGGAGCCTGTCCATGCACTGGGCCTGAGGTGTGGGTGCCAGGGTGTGGGGTGGTGGGCTCCAGAGTGACCAGGCCGTGTCTCAGCGGGCCCTGCTCTACGAGGAAGCCCTGTACACTGTACTGCACCGCCTGGGCCAGCCCGAGCCCAGCCACGTGCCTGAGGCCTCCGAGTTACTGCGGTACCTACAGGAGGTGAGCCCAGGCCCTGCCCACAGCATGTCCGAAGCCCTCCCATCCCTTCCCACACTCCAAACTCCTGCCTGCACTGCCCCTCCAGGCCTTCCACATGGAGCCCGAGGAGCACCAGCAAATGCTGCAGCGAGTCAGGGAGCTCCAGGTAACCCTGCCAGGGCCACCTGGGCAAGGAGGGGGGCCTGTGAAGGTCAGGCCACCTGGGATTCAGCCCACTTCCTCCTGTCCCTGCAGAAGCCAATATTTTGTCTGAAGGCGACAGTGAAACAGGCCAAGGGCATTCTGGGCAAGGATGTCAGTGGTGAGTGTGAGGGAACCCCAGGGGCTTCATCCTGGCTTCCTCCCCACCCCATCAGTGTGTTCCCAGCTCCCAAACACCCCCCAGGTCCCACTGCCACCCACTCTCACGGCCACCTGCCACCCTCTACTTGGAGTCTAGGCTGGGAGGGGCCAGCATGGGGCCATCATTCTCCTCTTCAAAGCCCCCAGGGTGGGAGGTGATGCGGACCCCTCTAGGAGAACTCCGGCTGACTCTTTGGCTGCCTCGGCCTGCCCCCCAGGCTTCAGTGACCCCTACTGCTTGCTGGGCATCGAGCAGGGCCTGGGCGTGCCAGGGGGCAGTCCTGGGGCCCGGCGTCGGCAGAAGGCTGTGGTGAGGCACACCATCCCCGAGGAGCAGACCCACCGCACCCAGGTCATCACCCAGACTCTCAACCCCGTCTGGGACGAGACCTTCATCTTGTACGTGGCCTTGCCTGGCGCCACTGGCCTGGGGCTCCCTGGGTAGCGAGGCCTGCCCGGTCAGTCGGATCGGCAGGTCTTCCTGGCGTGGGGCAGGGGGCTTGGCCTTGGGAAAGACTGAAGGAAGAGGCCCTTCTTAAGGCAGGGTGGACGCGTAGGTCGGGCAGGACAGACTGAGGACATTCCTGCCAGGTGTGCTGGTGTGGCAGGGTGGGGGGGCTCGGGCTCCGGGGCAATCTGGGGGTAGCCTGAGCTTATCTTCAAGTCAGTTGGAAGGGTGGTGGGGAGAGCCCAAGGCTCACTGTGAGAGGCACTGGGATAGCTTTGAGGGACAAGCTCTGGTCTGGGGTGGCCTGGGCTGAGAGGGGGTGTACCCCTCCAACCCCCCACTATGCACTCTCTTCCCTACAGGGAGTTCGAAGACATAACCAATGCCAGTTTCCATCTGGACATGTGGTGAGTGACAGACCCTATCCCTGGGGACAGGGAAGAAAAGGGGCGGGGATGAGGGTGGCAGAGCTCCCCAAAGGGGCATGGGTATCCCCTCTGCCACCCCCGCCTCACTCTCGGCCCCACCAGGGACATGGACACCGTGGAGTCTGTCAGACAGAAGCTCGGGGAGCTCACGGATCTGCACGGACTGCGGAGGTGGGTGCCGTGGGGCTCGTGGAGCGGGAGCACGGACTGCAGGTCCCCTCGGGCCCAGGGAGCCTCAAGTGGGGGTGGATTGCAACCGGATCCCTCAAGCACATGGCCTGTCTCCCTCCTGGGGCACTGCCTGAAACAGGATCTTTAAGGAGGCCCGGAAGGACAAAGGCCAGGACGACTTTCTAGGGAACGTGGTTTTGAGGCTGCAGGTGAGAAGGATGGAAAAGGGGGCCCAGGAGAGAGGTGGAGGGTGGGGGGTAAGCGGGATCTGGGCAGGGGCTCCAGGTCTGCACCAGGCCCCCATGGCCTCCCCCGTGCCCCACCCTGCGAGGCCCTGACAGCTGGGCATGAGCATCTCCCGCCCGCCAGGACCTGCGCTGCCGAGAGGACCAGTGGTACCCGCTGGAGCCCTGCACCGAGACCTACCCAGACCGGGGTCAATGCCACCTCCAGTTCCAGCTCATTCACAAGCGGGTGGGTCTGGGGCCTGCTCCCTCAGGGGCTCCCTTGGCCGCGGGAGGGCTGGCTGCAGCTGTCGTTGGGCCCTCCCCACTCACGGCCACACTGGCCCCATTGCAGAGAGCCACCACGGCCAGCCGCACCCAGCCCACCTACACCGTACACCTCCACCTCCTGCAGCAGCTCGTGTCCCACGAGGTCACCCAGCACCAGGTACTGCTGTCCCAGGGCTGGGCATGGTCAGCGCTGCTATCCGGTCCTGACGTTCACCTGTTCCCTCAGGCAGGCAGCACCTCCTGGGACGGGTCGCTGAGTCCCCAGGCCGCCACCGTCCTCTTCCTCCACGCCACGCAGAAGGACCTGTCCGACTTCCACCAGTCCATGGCGTGAGTGTGCAGGCCTGCGCAGAGCCCCAGGTGCTGCCCGAGTGGCCAGCACATCGCCCACCCTGCCTGCCCTCCTACCAGCTGGCCTCCCAAAGTCTACCCCTCCAAAGAGTTCTCTTCAGCCCAAACCAGTTGCTTTTACAGAGTTGGGGGTTCTCCTAGTCGGGATCGCCAGCCTCTCCTGAAACAGCTGTTCTTTTGCCAAGCCGCGGCTTGCCCAGAGCAGAGCAGCGGCCACTCCTCCGTCTTGGTTACATGGTGCCCACTCACTCCCCGACGTCTCCTGACGATGGGCATCTGAGTTCACACCCTGGCCCATTTCTGTCTTTTTAAAATTTTTTTAAGGGAAATTTTTGCTATAAGGCACATGCACTGACCAGAGAGACAGAGAGACAGAAAGCAAGAAATCACCCCCCAGGGAGGATGGCCATGCCACAATCCCTTCTCCTCCATTCTCCTCTCAGGATCTTGGACATGCACGCACACGCACCCAGCATGTTTCAAGCCACCACACACGCACACGCACCTGGCATGTTTCGAGTCCCCATCTGGGACTTGAACTGTGGTTGACTACGTGAGAGTCCAGCATGGTCATTACACCATCTGCTGGTTTCCTTAGCCCATTTCTAATGTCATGGCCTTCAGGTTGGCACGTCCAGGCATTGACATTAGGACCTCCTTGGTCGGGACCTGTCGCTTCCCCGGCACCATGTCACCTTCGAGGAATGTCAGGAAGAGGCACATGGGAGTTGCAGACATTGCAATGCATCTGAGAAGAGTGGAAGTCAGGGCACACTGGGGTCGCCGGCAGGGGAGGGAGGCTGGGGAGGCAGTTCTGGACTGGGGTAGTGTGAGTGCTTCTAGGCCCCGAGGCAGGAAGCCCTTAGTGCACAGGCTCTCTGGCAGCTAAAAGTGTGTGGGTGTGGGGGGCAGGTGTTGTGACGGCTAAGGTGTAGACTGCCACATGGTTGACCACGGTTCAAATCCCAGACCCCATGGCTTGAAAAATCCAGTTGGGGTGTGACCAGCAGATGGCATAGCAGTTGCATCACTGGAGTCTCGCACTGGTTGACCGCAGTTCAACTCCTGGACTGGGTGGCTTCAAAATCATGCCGGGCACATGTGTGTGTATGCCCAAAATTCTGGGAGGAGAATGGATTGTGATGTAGCCATCCCCCGGGGGGTGATTTCTCAATTTCTCTTTCACTATCTCTGTCTTTCTCTCTTTCTCCCCCTGGCAAGCACACACATGACAAAAACGTCTAAAAAATTTGTAAAAGAAAATCAAGCTGGGCATGTGTGCTTACATGTCCAAAGTCCTGAGGAGAATGGAGAAGGGATTGGGGCGTGGCCACTCTTCCTGGGGAGTGACTTCTCACTTTCCCTTTATCCTTCTCTGTCTCTGTCTGGTGGGTGTATGTGCCCTATGGTAAAAGTCTAAAAAAAGAAAAAAGGAAACTATTTTTTTACATTTATTTATTTGTTTGTTGTGATTTTCAAGCCACCAGGTCTGAGACTCAGACTGTGGTTCACCATGTGGGAATCCAGCACCTTAACCACCCACACCACCTGCTGGCCAGCCTTCAGTATCCCAAAAAGAGATGGATATTTGAAACATTATAAAACCATGGGACCAGCAGTGATGGCTATATCACTGGACTCCCATGTAGTTGACCACGGTTCGAGTCCCAGACCCTGTGGCTTAAACTCATGCCGGGCATGTGTGTGCATGCACAAGATTCCAAGAGGAGAATGGAGGAGAAGGGATTGCGGTGTGGCCATCCCCTCAGGGGGGGATTTCTTGCTTTCTGTCTCTCTCTGTCTTTCTGGCGAGCTCATGTGCGCTATAGCAAAAACCTCACACACAAAAAAGAAAAGAGAGAAAGAAAGAAGAAAGAGAAAGAGAAAGAAAGAAAGAAAAAGAAAAAGAAAAAGAAAGAAAGACAAAGAAAGAAAGAAATGCATTATAAAATCAAACACCCTGCAGGTCACCTGCAGCCACCAGCTGTCGGTCTCTGCTGGCCGGTAGGACTGCACGGGAGACTCTGGATAGGGGAACAGCAGGGCTCTAGTCCTGCTGACGGCTTCCTGTCCACTGCAGGCAGTGGCTGGGCCTCAGCCCCCCCACTCAAACTTCCCCCGCCTCTACCAGAGCCTGGAGTTCCCCAGCAGCTGCCTCCTGCACCCCATCACCAGCATTGAGTACCAGTGGATCCAAGGCCGGCTCAGGGCAGAACAGGTGGGCATGGGTGGGGCGAGGGTGTCCAGCAGGCCGGGCTTGGGGAGGGACAAGGCCCTGCGGGCGGCTCGCCTCACAGCATCTTCCTGGCCTGGCAGCTAGAGGAGCTGGCCACGTCGTTCAGCTCTCTTCTGGCCTATGGCCTCTCCCTCATCCGGAAGTTCCGGTCCGTCTTCCCCCTGTCTGTCTCGGACTCCCCGGCCCGGCTGCAGTCTCTCCTCAGGTCAGTGGCTGCCTCTGGCCTTCCTCTGCAGGTCGGGAATGAGGGGATGACCATCCATCCTGCTAGGGGAAGGGATGGCAGCCGTGGACACAGCCCTCTGCCCTGCAGGGTCCTGGTGCAGATGTGCAAGATGAAGGCTTTTGGAGAACTGTGCCCAGGGAGTGCCCCACTGCCCCGCCTGGTGACCGAGGCCTTGAGGGTATGCAACCACCTGGGTTGGGGGCCTGGGCCTGGCAGCCCCTCCATGCTCATGGCCTCTTTGCCGGCAGACTGGCACAGTTGAATGGTTCCACCTGAAGCAGCAACACCACCAGCCCATGGTGCAGGTGAGGGCTAGGGCTGGGCAGGGTGCAGGGTGGGGACACCTGACCCGGGCAGCCCCTCAGCCCACCTCTGTCCTTGCCAGGGCATGCTAGAGGAGGGCAAGGCCTTGCTGAGCCTGGTCCAGGACATCATCAGTGACCTGCACCAATGCCAGCGCACGTGGAACAAGATCTTCCACAAGTGGGCAGACCACCCGGTGGGAGGCAGAGGGGCCAGAAGGACCCTGCCTGCGCCACTGGGTCATGCCTGCTGCTTTCCCTCCAGTGCCCTCAAGATCGACCTCTTCTCCATGGCTTTTCTGGAGTTGCAGTGGCTGGTGAGTCCCCACGCTGCTGCCTCTAGGCCACGCCTTCCGCCCAGGCTGCCACTCACTGCCCACCGCGCCTCTCCTTCGCAGGTGGCCAAGCGAGTGCAGGACCACGCGGCGGCGGCAGGCAGTCCCGTGTCCCCCGAGATGGGCGAGAGTCTGTTTCAGCTCTACATCAGCCTCAAGGAGCTCTGCCGGCTTGGCCCAGGCCCCTCGGAAAGGTGGACAGCTCTCCAGTTGCGGGCGGCTTCCGGCGCGCGGGGAGAAGAGGGTGATGAGGGGCCTGCGCCGGCCCCAGGCTGAGCCCTCACTCTCCACAGAGAAGGAGTACTGGCCCTGGACGGCTTCCATCGCTGGCTCCAGCCGGCCATCCCCTCCTGGCTGCAGAAGACATACAGCGTGGCCTTGGCGCGGGTGCAGCGCGCGGTGCAGATGGACGAGGTCGGGGCTGGGCGTCCGGGCGGGGCCTTGGGATTGGGGCGGGGCTAGGAGCCCAGCCCCAGCTCCAGGGCGTGGTCGAAGCGGTAAAGGGCTGGGATTTTCATTCTGCCTGTGTGCTTGAGGCCAGTCGTGTGCCTCCTGATAGCCTGGGGAGCCTGGCTGAGTTTGTGGCCCCGGTCGCCTTCCAGCTCTGTGCTGGAGTGGTAGCCGCTCTGAGGGCTTGCAACGAAGGAGGAAGGAGTGGACGTCAGTGCCCTGCACCCTCCTTGCTGAGTGTGCTCCATCCCTCCCCAGCTGGTGCCCCTGGGTGAGCTGACCAAGCACAGCACCTCAGCCGTGGACCTGTCCACCTGCTTCGCCCAAATCAGCCACACTGCCCGTCAGCTGGACTGGCCGGACCCAGAGGAGGCCTTCATGATCACGGTCAAGTTTGTAGAGGTGCAGCCTCTGCTGTGTCCTGCCCACCTATCGAGTACAGCCTCACGGCCACCAGCCCGGTTTCTCCCCGGCTCTCACACTAGCAATCTCCCTGGGCCTGTGTTCTAAATCCCTCCCGGTTACTGAGGTTCTGTGCCCCCTCAAATGCCCTTCTGGGATGAGCATGTCCTCGCCCCACCCTAGGACACCTGTCGGCTGGCCCTCGTGTACTGCAGCCTTATAAAGGCCCGGGCCCGTGAGCTCTCTGCTGGCCAGAAGGACCAGGCCCTGGCAGCCAACATGGTAAGAGCCAGAGCTGGGGGTGGGGGCCGGTGGCCCGAATGGGAGTGGAGCCTGCGGGCTCCTGTTGAGGAAGCTCTGCATCCTCACGGCCCACCTGTCCAGCTGTGCGTGGTGGTGAATGACATGGAGCAGCTGCGGCTGGTGATCGGCAAGCTGCCCAC